AGCCCTGTATGCTCCAGCTGGCCTCGTATCTGCCTGCTCCAACATCCACAATCAGACTCTTCCTTCTTGGTAAGCAACTGGCCTTCTGCCCATCTTTCTACTCCTAGAATACACCTTTCCTCCTCTCTGCTCCTCGAAATCCTCCATTTCTATACACTCAGGATGGTATCAGCCACTGCCCTGGTTCGTGCTCCTGACCCCAGCCCACTGCGGCAGACTGGGGTTCCTGCTCTGGGCTTCCATGTTGTATACATAGAGCTTACCCCCCAGTACAGCTGAGCACATTGTTAACCTCTCCTTGGGTCTTTAAATCTGTATCCTCTGCACCTGGTCCACAGCAGGTGCTCCATAAATAGCTACTGTTAAACTGAAGGAAGTTTCATCCTCAAGGCTCTGATATCACAGACTCACAAAACTCAGTATCTGAATTTGCAAAATAAACTGTGGAGGAAGCCAACTGACTTACTGTGGGGAACTTGGGGTTCCTATGGCCAGGATCCTCACTGACCTTAAACCACCTGATGATGTAACTGGCCTGTTGCTGGGCTACCACTTCCACACCTTTAGGCAATAAGCTATTACTGCACTATATAGAGAGCTCAGCCCAGTGCTCTGGGCGGAGGCAGAGACGCTAGTGCTCGACCTCCCGCCGGGAGAACAAGCTGGGTAATAAAGCCTTTCACCCCAAAGAACGTTTTGCTGTCAATTTCTTTGGTCACATTGAATCCATAGCGAACTTGCCTGGAGCTGAAACCCATTGGCAAGACACTTACCTTTCTCCAACCTCCCACTCCTTGTACCCTGAAATGCCTGTGTACCACGGTCAAGTCCTGAGATGCCCTCAACACATCTGTCGCCTGAGCTGCACTGGACTGTAGCCTGGGCGCAGGAGGCTCGGTCTTTGTCCTGGGATTTCCTAGGAGTGATAGCAAAGAGGAAACCCGACACTGGCCACCTCATCAGAGAAATTCTAAACATCTGTTGTTTCTAAACATCTTTTATCTGTTATTGTGGTTTATAACATTGGTTTTTAAATGTTAAATTAATTTTGCATTCCTAGGACAAACCCAACCTGTGAAGAATTATTCTTATCATAGAGTCAGGATCCCAGTACTTTATAGAGGATTTCTACGTTTTACTCATGAGTGACACTGGCCTGTAATTTTCTTTTTTTGTATCATTTCAGATTTAGTGTCAAGGTATACCAGCCCCTTTTTCAATACTCTGGAAGACTTTGTGTAAAACTGGAATTACTTACTCCCTTAGGGACTGGTAGAACTCACCAAATAAACCAACTAGGCCCAGTGTTTTCTTTGAGGGAAAATCTTTGACACCTAATTCAATGTCTTTAATGATTACAGGCTATTTCCATTTTCAATTTCTTACAGAATCAATTTTGGCAAATTATATTTTTCTAGGAAACTCCAAACAATTGGATTACAAAGATTAAAACGGATATCTCGAATGCTGACACTAGGTGATCACTGCAAGAAATTAAGTGCCTTGTAAAGCATCCGAGAAACAATAGCTCACATGTGTACTGTATGTTAGTTTATAAAGTGCTGCCCATATATTATCTCATCCAAAGATACAAGTCTGAGTAGCTTTGGTGACATGTGGTGTCTGATTATGTGCAAAGGGATAGAAAACTTCTATTCAGCAGAATCAGTGACTCAGATCAACCCCTACTGCTGGCCTGGGTAGAAAACTTTGTGGACGCCTATGCAACTACTGAATTCCTCACTTCACTCCTGGGAGTCACCTGTCATTAACAAGAGGACGCAGCCACCAAGTGTGCTGGGAGTGTTCTTAGCTCACGGAAACCTTCCCCAAGGCCAGGCTGGGAATGGAAAGACTGGCGGCTGGCATGTTTACTAGCACGGGGTTCCATAGGCCACGCAGCCCGGGGCGCAGCGGACAGTGCCGGAAGGGGGAGGGGGTCACACTTACCAGGGCCTCAAAGTCCTTGCAGCTGTGGCTGGCATAGGACGCAGGGAAGGGCCGAAGCACAGAGTCACGCTTGTAGCTCTGCAGGGCCGAGGCGAAGAGGCTGCACCGGAGGTCGGCGGCCAGCACGTCGCGGCCCGCGGCCTCCCTGACAGCCGCGCTGCCTGCCGCCGGCTGCATCCCGGGTCGTGGGGCGTCGCCGGGCGAGGAGCGCGGGTCAGGGACTAGGGCTAAGCCTGCGGTCAGCAAAGGGCTGGGCCCGGGGACAGTAAGCCAGAGGGGACCGGGATTACCAGGCCTGGGGTGGAGCTAGGAGAGGGATGGGACGACAGCGCTGAGAATGTTCTGACGAGTGTCTTCTGCGGGGGCCCAGTCCGGGGCTCTTGCTGCTCGGAGAGACGAGTGACTCGAGGAGAGGGGCCCGGCAGGGACTGCAGATGAGAGCGGGGTCTGGGCCTGGGGATAATGGGGCCGGGAGGAGTGGTCGCAGGTCTGGGGGAAGGGCTATGACACAGGATGAGACGACAACGGGGGGAACGTGGGGCCTGGGCCGGAGGCCACCCCTGGGCTATCGCCGGCAGTGCCCCCTCCCAGCGCCCGGCGAGGCTGCGGCGCTTGCCTTCCTGCCCCGCCTCCGGCTCGGCATCGCAAAAGCCCCGGCGCTCGCCCGGCTGCCCTCGGCGCCGCCTGCGTCCCGCCAGCTGTGCTCAGCAGCCCGCGGGGCCCTGCCCGCCGGAAGAACTCCCGGGCCCCGCCGCGCGCCCGGGCCTACCTCCCCTCCGGGCCGCCGCGCTCCCCACGCTGCTCGGGGCTCCTCCCAGCCCAGCCGAGTGCCCGCCCCTCCCCGGGGCAGGGTGCGCCGTGTGCGGCCCACGCCGATCCCGAAAGGTCTCCAGGTGTGCGCGGAGCGGCTCCGGGGAGTCCCCCGTGGTGGGTGCTGCGCTCCGTTCTCAGAGAAGCCGGTAATAGAAACTGATCCAGGCGCCCTTTTGACCCGCCCTTGGACTTACCTGTGTCCCAGCTCCGAGGGCTGCGCCTGCTCGTCTTAACCTGGGGAATTGCTACTAGAGGATAAAATCTACACATCTTGGCAGGACGAGCCCAGCCCTGTATGCTCCAGCTGGCCTCGTATCTGCCTGCTCCAACATCCACAATCAGACTCTTCCTTCTTGGTAAGCAACTGGCCTTCTGCCCATCTTTCTACTCCTAGAATACACCTTTCCTCCTCTCTGCTCCTCGAAATCCTCCATTTCTATACACTCAGGATGGTATCAGCCACTGCCCTGGTTCGTGCTCCTGACCCCAGCCCACTGCGGCAGACTGGGGTTCCTGCTCTGGGCTTCCATGTTGTATACATAGAGCTTACCCCCCAGTACAGCTGAGCACATTGTTAACCTCTCCTTGGGTCTTTAAATCTGTATCCTCTGCACCTGGTCCACAGCAGGTGCTCCATAAATAGCTACTGTTAAACTGAAGGAAGTTTCATCCTCAAGGCTCTGATATCACAGACTCACAAAACTCAGTATCTGAATTTGCAAAATAAACTGTGGAGGAAGCCAACTGACTTACTGTGGGGAACTTGGGGTTCCTATGGCCAGGATCCTCACTGACCTTAAACCACCTGATGATGTAACTGGCCTGTTGCTGGGCTACCACTTCCACACCTTTAGGCAATAAGCTATTACTGCACTATATAGAGAGCTCAGCCCAGTGCTCTGGGCGGAGGCAGAGACGCTAGTGCTCGACCTCCCGCCGGGAGAACAAGCTGGGTAATAAAGCCTTTCACCCCAAAGAACGTTTTGCTGTCAATTTCTTTGGTCACATTGAATCCATAGCGAACTTGCCTGGAGCTGAAACCCATTGGCAAGACACTTACCTTTCTCCAACCTCCCACTCCTTGTACCCTGAAATGCCTGTGTACCACGGTCAAGTCCTGAGATGCCCTCAACACATCTGTCGCCTGAGCTGCACTGGACTGTAGCCTGGGCGCAGGAGGCTCGGTCTTTGTCCTGGGATTTCCTAGGAGTGATAGCAAAGAGGAAACCCGACACTGGCCACCTCATCAGAGAAATTCTAAACATCTGTTGTTTCTAAACATCTTTTATCTGTTAATGTGGTTTATAACATTGGTTTTTAAATGTTAAATTAATTTTGCATTCCTAGGACAAACCCAACCTGTGAAGAATTATTCTTATCATAGAGTCAGGATCCCAGTACTTCATAGAGGATTTCTATGTTTTACTCATGAGTGACACTGGCCTATAATTTTCTTTTTTTGTATCATTTCAGATTTAGTGTCAAGGTATACCAGCCCCTTTTTCAATACTCTGGAAGACTTTGTGTAAAACTGGAATTACTTACTCCCTTAGGGACTGGTAGAACTCACCAAATAAACCAACTAGGCCCAGTGTTTTCTCTGAGGGAAAATCTTTGACACCTAATTCAATGTCTTTAATGATTACAGGCTATTTCCATTTTCAATTTCTTACAGAATCAATTTTGGCAAATTATATTTTTCTAGGAAACTCCAAACAATTGGATTACAAAGATTAAAACGGATATCTCGAATGCTGACACTAGGTGAACACTGCAAGAAATTAAGTGCCTTGTAAAGCATCCGAGAAACAATAGCTCACATGTGTACTGTATGTTAGTTTATAAAGTGCTGCCCATATATTATCTCATCCAAAGATACAAGTCTGAGTAGCTTTGGTGACATGTGGTGTCTGATTATGTGCAAAGGGATAGAAAACTTCTATTCAGCAGAATCAGTGACTCAGATCAACCCCTACTGCTGGCCTGGGTAGAAAACTTTGTGGACGCCTATGCAACTACTGAATTCCTCACTTCACTCCTGGGAGTCACCTGTCATTAACAAGAGGACGCAGCCACCAAGTGTGCTGGGAGTGTTCTTAGCTCACGGAAACCTTCCCCAAGGCCAGGCTGGGAATGGAAAGACTGGCGGCTGGCATGTTTACTAGCACGGGGTTCCATAGGCCACGCAGCCCGGGGCGCAGCGGACAGTGCCGGAAGGGGGAGGGGGTCACACTCACCAGGGCCTCAAAGTCCTTGCAGCTGTGGCTGGCATAGGACGCAGGGAAGGGCCGAAGCACAGAGTCACGCTTGTAGCTCTGCAGGGCCGAGGCGAAGAGGCTGCACCGGAGGTCGGCGGCCAGCACGTCGCGGCCCGCGGCCTCCCTGACAGCCGCGCTGCCTGCCGCCGGCTGCATCCCGGGTCGTGGGGCGTCGCCGGGCGAGGAGCGCGGGTCAGGGACTAGGGCTAAGCCTGCGGTCAGCAAAGGGCTGGGCCCGGGGACAGTAAGCCAGAGGGGACCGGGATTACCAGGCCTGGGGTGGAGCTAGGAGAGGGATGGGACGACAGCGCTGAGAATGTTCTGACGAGTGTCTTCTGCGGGGGCCCAGTCCGGGGCTCTTGCTGCTCGGAGAGACGAGTGACTCGAGGAGAGGGGCCCGGCAGGGACTGCAGATGAGAGCGGGGTCTGGGCCTGGGGATAATGGGGCCGGGAGGAGTGGTCGCAGGTCTGGGGGAAGGGCTATGACACAGGATGAGACGACAACGGGGGGAACGTGGGGCCTGGGCCGGAGGCCACCCCTGGGCTATCGCCGGCAGTGCCCCCTCCCAGCGCCCGGCGAGGCTGCGGCGCTTGCCTTCCTGCCCCGCCTCCGGCTCGGCATCGCAAAAGCCCCGGCGCTCGCCCGGCTGCCCTCGGCGCCGCCTGCGTCCCGCCAGCTGTGCTCAGCAGCCCGCGGGGCCCTGCCCGCCGGAAGAACTCCCGGGCCCCGCCGCGCGCCCGGGCCTACCTCCCCTCCGGGCCGCCGCGCTCCCCACGCTGCTCGGGGCTCCTCCCAGCCCAGCCGAGTGCCCGCCCCTCCCCGGGGCAGGGTGCGCCGTGTGCGGCCCACGCCGATCCCGAAAGGTCTCCAGGTGTGCGCGGAGCGGCTCCGGGGAGTTCCCCGTGGTGGGTGCTGCGCTCCGTTCTCAGAGAAGCCGGTAATAGAAACTGATCCAGGCGCCCTTTTGACCCGCCCTTGGACTTACCTGTGTCCCAGCTCCGAGGGCTGCGCCTGCTCGTCTTAACCTGGGGAATTGCTACTACGCACTGCCTCTCTCTTGAATCGTTTTTCTCCAAAACTGGCTGCGCCAAAGGAACAGTTTAACACCTAAGGAAACTGAGTCTTAGAGTGCTGCACTGCTTGTCCACGGCCCCACAGCCAGACGGTGAATCTGGGATTCACACCTGAAAACCAACAACCCTTGCCTCTGCCTTTCAACCTCCAGAATTCACTACGTTACTTAAGTCTCTGGCCTGTCAGACAAGGGGAGCCAAGAGCCTCCTCTGGGGCCCTGTCTGAAAGGAAACCCGTGGCGACATGTAGTCTGAGGGCAGAGGGAAGACTGACCTAACTGTCCGAGGGAAGTGACTAGACCCTCTCCCAACTCCCGCCTCATTAGACAGAACCCTAGTTTGGCCTTCTGGTCACATAGAAATCTAAGCACAGGTCATTGCTAATTCCCAGACCAAGAAGCCCCTCAATGCCCTGCCCATACCCCCACACCCCAGCATCCTCTGAGGAAGGAACTTCCACTCCTTCCACATCCAGGCCCAGCTGGCCCTGGGCTCAGAGGAGAGGTGGTCCATGCCAGTTGGACTGCATGTGTGATTTTGGGTAGCAGAGCAAGACCGCCCAGACACCACAGGCTTTCCCAGTGCGGGCAAGGAGTGCTGGCTGCTCCTAGAAGTCCACATTAACCCCTGGTTGCTCAAAGTCTAGACTGACCCAGAAGCACCAAAAACGTGTCTAAGAGGCTTATGGCCTCAAACAAGGCCCCTAGTGCCCCCAAAGTTCTGGGGGCCTCAGGGGATGGAGGAATTCTAACATGGCTTCTGAAGCTCAGGTCCAGAAAGCCAGAGCGCACAGCAGTGGGGCAGGAGACCTGGAAACCATCCTTCGTTCCACCTCTTCTTCACTCGGGCTCTTAGACAAGGCCACCTCTTTGGCCTCAGGGATTGTTTGTTGAATGACTACATGAAATTTGCTTCCCTGAATGTTTTCTCATACATGAAATGAGAATTGTAGTGATATACTATGTCCCAGAGGGTGTGGAAAGCCCTCCAAGGATGTAACCCTTACAGTCTGGGAGCTCTAAAGAACAAACTGGGTTATCTAATACTGTGTCACTGGGTTTATTTCCTTTTTTATTTTTTAAAAACAGCTTTACTGAGATATAATCCTTAGCCCACACAACTTACCCAGAGTGTAAATCTTAATACATTTTAGTATATTCACAGAAATGTGCAACCATCACCACAGTCAGTTTTAAAACATTTCATCACATCAAAAAGAAACCTTATATGCTTAGGGTATCTCTACCGTATACTCCCATCTACCTCAGCCCGAAGCAACCACTAATCTACCTTCTCTCCTTGCATTTGCCTGTTCTAGACAGTTCATATGAATAGAACCATACAGTATGTGTTTTGTGACTTGTTCTTTCACTCAGTATATTTTCACAGTTCCTCCATGTTGTAGCATGTATCAGTATGTCATTCCTTTTTCATGGCTGAGTAATAATAGTCCATTGTATGGATATGCCACCTGTTGTTTATCCATTGACCAGTGAATGGTCGTTTGGGTTGTTTCCACTGTTTGACTATAACAAGTAATGCTATAAACATTTGTGTACAAGCTTTTCTGTGGACATGTTTCCTTTCTCTTAAGTATATACTTAGGAGTGGAAATACTGAGTCATATGGTAACTATGTTTAATTGTATGAGGAACTACAAAAGTGGCTGTACCATTTTACATTCCCACGGACAGTGGATGAGATTTCCAATTTCCCCACATATTCATCAGCACTTGTTACTGTCTGACTTTTTTATTTTTGCCATGTGTGGAGGAAATGGAAGTGCCTATGGCCGGGATCCTCCCCTGAACTAAACTACTTGATGTAATTAGCCTACTGCTAGGCTACTGCTTCCACACCCATAGGCAATAAGCTATTATTAACTGAGTCACTACATAAAGAGCTCTGCCCAGTGCTTTGGGAGGAGGCAGAGATGAAGGGGGATTACAGACCTGCAGACTGTTGGCTGCAGATGTAAGTCTAGTGCTTGACCTATCACCTGGAGAACAAGGCCAGGTAATAAACCCTTTCACCCCAACAAGTTTCATTGTCATTCCTCTGTCTCACTGAATCCATAGTGAACTTGCCCAGATCTGAAACCCATTGGCAAGACACCATGCTAGTGGGTGGAAATAGTATCTCAGTGTGATTTTGATCTGCACTTTCCTGATGGCTATTGAGACCTTTCATGTGTTCATTGGCAATTTGTATATCTTCTTTGAAGAAATATCTATTCAGATTCTTTGTCTATTTTTGAATTGGGTTGTCTTTTGCTATAGTTATGAGAGTTTTTTAAATAAATTCTAACTATAGTTCCCTTAGCAGGTATGTGATTTGCAAATATTTTCTGACTCTGTGTCTTTCACTTTCTTGATAGTGTCCTTGAAATACAAATTTTTTTTTCATGAAGTCAAATTTATGATTTTTTATTTTTTTGTTCATGCTTTTGGTGTAATATCTAATAATCCATTGTCAAATCCAAGGTCAGGAAGATTTGTCCTCCATGTTTTCTTCTAAAAATTGTATGGTTTTAGCTCTTACATTTAGATATTTGATCCATTTTGAATTAATTTTTGTATATTGTATAAGAGAAAGGTCCAACTTCATCTTTTGAATGTGGATATCCAGTTGTACCAGCAGTATTTGTTGAAAAAGACTACTCTTTCCCCCACTGAGTGGTTTCAGCCCCCTTAAAGGAAATCCATTTACCATAGGCACATGGCTTTATTTCTAGACTCTTATTTCAGTCTCTTGCCAATGGGTTTCAGCCCGGGGCAAGTTTGCTATAGAATCAATATGACCAAAGAAAATGACAGTAAAACGTTCTTGGGGTGAAAGGGTTATACCCAACTTTTTTTCCAGGTGGCAGCTCAGTCACTGGAATCCCATTCACTCACAGCAAGTCTGCATTCAGCAAGCTGGTCTCTGCCTCTGGGCCCCTCTGCCCACACAGCCGTCCTCTGGGCCTCTGTCCTCAGCACTGCCACCACTCCAGCCTCTGCTCTGCTCTCCTGCAGCCTAGCAGCCCTGCCACCGTGTCATGCCCAGAGCACTGGGCAGAGCTCTTTATACAGAGTCAACAGCCATGTATTGCCTACAGGTGTGCAGTGAGCTAGTCAACCAGGGCCAGGTGAGAATCCTGGCCACAGGAACTCTCATTTTATCCACACAGTCCATTGACTTACATGTCTGCCCTATGTTGGTGCTACACTATCTTGATTATCATTGCTTTGTAGTAAGCTTTGAAGTCAAGAAGTAAGTCCTCTTACTTTGTTCTTTTTCTAGGTTGTTTTGGTTATTAATGCATCTTTTGCAATTCCATATGAACCTTAGAATCAGCTTATCAATTTCTTCAAAGAAGTCAGCTAGGATTCTGAGTGTGTTGAATCTGTAGATGAATCTGGGGAGTATTATCATCTTAAAAATATTAAATCTTCCAATACATGAACATAGGATGTTTTCCATTTATTTAGCTCTTTAATTTTTTTTCAGCAATGTTTTGTATTTTTGTGAATATAAGTTTTGCACTTCTTTGGTAAAATTCATCCCTAAGTATTTCATTCTTTTTCATGCTATTGTAGATGGAATCATTTTCTTAATTTCATTTTCAGATTGTTCATTCCAAGTGTAGAGCAATATAACTGCTTTTTGTATGTCAATCTTGTATCCTGCAAATGCACTAAACTTTATTACTAGTTCTAGTAGTTTTTTTGTAGATTTTTTAGAGTTTTCTGTCTATAAGATCATGTCATCTGTGAATAGGGATAGTTTTACTTCTTTCTTTCCAATCCAGATGATTTTCATTTATTTTTCTTGCCTAATTGGCCTGGCTAGAACCTCCAGTACAATGCTGAATAGAAGTGGTTAGCATATATCAATTCTTGTTCCTAATCCTACCAGGAAACATAGCTGCCTTTTTTGAGTGTGTTAGCTGTGGGTTTTTCAATATGCCCTCTGTTGGGATGAGGAAGTTCCCTTCTATTCCTAGTTTATTGAGTGTCTTTATCATTCAAGAGTGTTGGATTTTTTTTCAAATGCTTTTCTGCACCCGTTGGGATGATCATGTGCTTTTTTTGCTTTTTATTCTATTGATATGGTATATTATATTGATTTTTCAGGTGGTTAACCCAATCTTGCATCCCAGGGATAAATCCCACATACTTAATGTGTATGATTCTCTTTATATGCTGTAGGATTCAGTTTGCTAGTATTTTGCTGAGGAGTTTTGCATCCATATACATACAGATATTGGTCATTAATTTTCTTGTGAAAGCTTTGTCTGGTTTTGATATCAGGGTAATACTGGCCTCATAGAATAAATTGGTAAGTATTTAATCTTCTATTTTTTTGAAAGAGTTTATGAAGAATTAGTATTAATTATTCTTTAAATGTTTGGTAGAATGTAGCAGTGAAGCCAGGTGAGCCTAGGATTATCTTTGTGGGTGGCTTGGGTTTTTCTTTTTTAATTTTTAATTTTCTTACTAATTCAATCTCTTCACTTGTTATAGGTCTATTCAGATTGTCTATTCTTCTTTTGATAATTTGAGTCTTTAGGCATTTCTCTCTTTTGCCTAAGTTATCTAATTTCTTGAAATACAATTGTTCATAATCTTTTATAATTCTTTTTATTTCTGTAAGGTAAATAATAATATCCCTTCTTTCATTTCTAATTTTAGATATTTTAAATTTCTTTTTCTTGGTCTGTATAGCTAAAGATTTGTCAATTTTGTTGATGTTTTCAAAGAACAAGCTTTTGGTTTCATTGTTTGTTCTGCCATTGTTTGCTGTATTACTCATTGTTCCTTTAGCTGTTTCATTAATTTCTGTTCCAGTCTTTATTATTTCCTTCCCTCTGTTTGCTTCAGGTTTAATTTGCTCTTCTTATTTGAGTGTCTTAAGGTGACCTTTAGTTTATTATTTTGAGATTTTTCTTCTTTCCTAATGTAGGCATTTACGCCTATAAAATTTCATCTAAGGACTGCCGTTAGATGTATCCCATGAATTTTAATATGTTGTACCTTCATTTTCATTCATCTCAAGATATTTTCTAATTTCTCTGTTTCTGTGGTTGATCTCTAATTTCATTTCATTATGGTCAGAGAACATGCTTTGTATTATTTCTATCCTTTTGGATTTATTGTAGTTTTATGGCCTAGCATATACCTATCCTGGAGAATGTTCCATGTGCAGTGAGAAGCATGTATATTCTATTGTTGGACCAGCATTCTATAGATTTCTCTTAGATCTAGTTGGTTAATAGTATTTTGAAATCTTATATTCTCTTGTTGATCATTTATCTAGTTGTTCTATCCATTGTTGAAAGTGAGATACTGAAGTCTCCAACTATTATTGTTGAATTGTTCATTTATTTCTGTCAGGTTTTGTTTTATGTATTTTGGTGCTCTCTTATTAGATGCTTATATATTTATAATTACATCTTCCTGATTGGACTTTTTAAAATTACGGAATGTCTCTCTTTATCTCTCATAACATTTTTTATTTTAAAGTCTATTTTGTCTAATATTAGTATAGTCATTCCAGCTTTCTTGTGTTTGCATGATATCTTTTTCCATCTTTTTACTTTCAGTATATTTGTATCTTTGAATCTAGTGTATCTCTTGCAGACAGCATATAAATGGAAATTGTGTTTTATTTTATTTTTTAATCAAGTCTGAGAGTCCTTACCCTTTGGTCAAATTGTTTAACCATTCATACTTACAGTTATCATTGATATACCTGAACAAATTTGTTTTCTGTGTCTCATATCTTTTATGTTTATTCTTCCTTTACTGTTTGCTTTTGCATTAAATGAATATTTTCTAATTTGACATTTTAATTTCTTAATTCTTTTACATTATTTAAAAAAATAATTTCCTTAGCAATCACTCTAGGGCTTATAATATATACCTTAACTTATCAGGATCAATTTCAGATTTATACTGACTTACTTCCTGTGAGATATAGAAATGTTACTTCTATATATTATGTATATATGTATATAGCTCTGTCCTTACCCTGTTTTTATAGTATTATTGTTAGATCACATCTATAAACGTTACAAACCTAACAACACACTGTTATAATTATTACCTTATATAATTTTGTCTTTTTAAAGAAGGCAAGAGAAAAGAGAGCAATTATATATTTGTCACTTTTGTTATATTACTCTTATTTATAATTTCTGCTTTTTTAATTTGTTCTTGTGGATTTGAATTACTATCTGAAGACATTTCTTTCAGCCTGATGAAATTCTGTAGTATTTGTTGTAAAGCAGGTTTCCTACCACATATTCTCTCAGTTTTTATTTTTCTGGGAATTTGCCTTCACTTTTTGAAAGATAGCTATTTTGGCTGGCAGTTTTTTTCTTTGAGCACACTATGTTATCCCGCTGCCTTGTGGCCTCTGTTATTGCAGCTGAGAAATCAGTGCATGGCTCATACTTTCCTGTTTCTCTGCATGTCCTATAATTTCTTGTTGCAACCGCAAGTCCAGTTTGTCACCTGTGTCTGGCCAACTGGACAAATTGGAGGTTCCCACAGTCCCCTCCTCAGGTTTGATTAATTTGCTAGGGTCACTCACAGAATTCAGGGAAACAGCTTACTTACTGGATTACTGGTTTATTATAAAAGGATAAAACTCAGGAACGTCTATTCATATATTTGTTTATGTCAAGCTATGACCAGCAAAAAATACCCATTATCATCACTTCAGTTCAATGTCTCTGTGAGAGTTCCCAACCAATTCAGTAAAATAAGAAAAAGAAATAATGACAAGTATAAGACTGAAAAGGAAAAAACAAACAAATATAACGTTCAAGGATCCTGGATAGGAGAAACCGAAAAAGGAGGTCAGATCAAAACCAAGGAAATACGAATAAACTATGGACTTGTGATTCATTAATTGTAACAAATGTGCAATACTAATAATGACATGTTAATGACCGGGGCAACTGGGTGGGGTGTATGGGAACTCTCTGCCCTGTCTTCACAATTTTTCTGTCAATGTAACACTTTTCTAAGAAATAAAATCTATTTAAAAATACATTTACTGCCAAATTCAGTTTAGGCTATGAATGCAGGGATGATTTATCATAGAAGATCTATTAGTGTAGTTTTCCACGTTAGCAGGTTAAAAGGGAAAACATATGATTATTTGAATACTCACCTATACTATAAGAAAAAATATTGTAGCAAACTAGGAATAAATGGAATTAGCTTAATCAAAGAGTGTTTACCAGAAACCTTTTGAGGCCCAATACAAAATACAGATTCAGGACCTTTGTTCAAACATTGTTAAGAATTTCATGAAGGCAATAGAAGAGGGCTTTATGAGCACAGGGGCCAATATAACTGCACAGACCACTTGCTCAAGAAGCCCCACCTGTATACAGTGAGCTTTGCACTTAATGGCAGTCCAGTGAGAGCTATGGCTAGAATAAGCAAAAGATATCCACTATTATCACTTCGGTTCAATGTCTCTGCAAGAGTTCTTGACCAGTTAAGTAAAACAAGAAAAAGAAATAATAAAAAGTGTAAGACTAAAAAGGAAAAAACAGTGTTGTTTTTCAGATGATCTGCTTGTCTACAGAAATATCCAATAGAATCTACAATCTGTTAGAACTAGAGCTTAAGATTGCTGAATGCTAGAGCAATAAATAAAATTCAAATGTGTCACTATACACCATCAATAAGCAATTATAAAGTGGGATTTTAGAAATCTATACCACCCACAAAAACTACCAGATATTAAAAGTAAAGTAAATCTAACAAAAAATCTTTATTATAAAATGCAAAACTGTATTGAAAGATAATGAAGGGGAAGATTTACAATGTTAATGAATATGGAATATGATATTGTATGATATGTGAATAAAATAATGAAGGAATAAAATGAAACCTTGATGTCACTTTCCCAATTTTAGAAGAATATTGCCAACATGTTTGAAACCTTCTGTGGGCACATGCCTCAGTCCCCACAGGTAACCACTATCTTGAATTTTATATTAGCCATGACTTTGCTATCCTCATGGCCTGCTGCTCCCAAATAATCGAAAATTATTTTAAAGAAATCATACCCAAAGGTCCCAATGTTCAAGTAGATTGTCTCTAGTTGACTAGGGTGTAGTTGAGATCCCAAGCAGGCAAGCCTCTGCTTTGCCCCTTAAGGGTGGCCCCAGAGCACGGTTTGAATCCTCAGTTATTTCTAGAATCTAAAGGCAAATATTCAGGGTTCATTTGCATACCCATAATACACCATAATGCACTGTGAGCAGTATAATTGTTTTCAAATAAAAAAATAGTTTCTTTTTTACTTGACTTCTGAGTATGAGAATGTTATTTTCGGAATTCACTGGATAAACTTCTGCAGGCAGTAACACCTGGGATAAGTAACCACCATCAGTTCACTAGGAGTTTCAGTGACCCGAAAAGTGAGTATATGACCTTTTTGGGCTGACACTCTGGGTTCTCTTGAAGTTGTGTAAATCTTTTGCCTTTTACTAAAAATTTCCATGGAGATAAACAATTGAGTTTTATACAAATACCTTGAGGTTTTGTTTTTAAAGGGCTGTCTCTCTTGTCTAGATAAAATTATGTAAATATGTTTCCAAGCTTTTACTCTTCCCTAGTGTAGTAGTTTCTCTACTAGTAGTTGTAGCTGTTTTGTATTCTACTGTACAAGACTGTTTTCTGGAGACAGGGGTAATTGTTTTCAACTATATTTCTTCATTTTAGGGAACAATGTGGTTAGTCTCTGAAGGTAAATTCTGATGCACTAAGACCCCCACCCTTAAGATCCAATCACCACCAACCAGATGGGAGTGGTAATGGGTTAAGGAGGGTCGTGGCGAGATACCCTTTCATTGGTGCCATGACTCGGATGAGGTTCTCCCGTTGACTTTGCTCCTCCTCTGGGAATCTGAGCTGCTTTGGGAACCCTCACTGCCCAATCCTCCTCCACGGGCTCACTGTCCATTTCCCCGGTCACTCATCTTCTCGCCCAACACCAGCCTTCAATTTGGTAGTCTCCCCTTCATGGTCGACTTAAATGTCCCTTTGGAACCTGGGAAGTGACCGTTGAGTGTTAGGCACCCCAAGGGCTCCTCCAGGACAGGGGCACCCCCAACCACAACTTTCAGAGTCACGGTTGATCCCCAGAGTCGACCCTTCTCTGCCTCCCCATGGTGAGAATCCTCATTCACTGAGGCCCGGTCTCCCTTATCTACTCGTAAACTCCTGGTTCCAGGTACCAAGCCTCCTCGGCATTTTCGCCTCGACTGCTCGGTTAGAGGTGGTGACAACCCCCTAACTGGTCTTTTGGTCTTCTCTGCGACCTTCTCAATCCCTCTGGAATGCCTCAACGACTTCTGAACGGTCTTGTTCCCACCATGGAATCTGGCCCCTCTGTTCCCGCAGATTCACCACTAGGGTGCTTACTCAGTAATGTAAAACCCCTCCACCTCACTCCAGACCTCAAACCTTTTAAGCTTATTCGCTACTGTAATGAGATCTGGCCACAATATTCCTTGGACAATCCATCTAAATGGCCTCCCTATGGCTCTTTAGATCCTAAAATTCTCCATGACTTATACAACTTCTGTGAGTGCATGGGCAAATGGAAAGAGATCCCATATATCCACACTTTCTCCTGCCTCCGAATCAAGCCCACTCTGTCTCCCTTGCAATCCTAAACATGTCCTCACTCTGAAAAACTTCACCCCACCACCCACCAATTCCCACCACATCCTCTGACTTTAACCCTGCTGATGAACGATCTCAATCCCCTACAGCTCCCCATCAACCACCAGTTCCTCTCCTGCCCAACCTCCTTCTCTGCCAAGATCAAAATCCCAACCCTCCCAGCTCCCCTAGTGCCATTGCAGGAGCTGCAGCACCTCCTCCTCCTCCACAACCAGTTCCCCTTCCCTCACCCAGTCCCGTGTCAAGCCCTCCAGTCACTCGCTCTCAAACCCAGATCTTAGCCCCATACGGGAAGTAGCCAGTATAGAGGGCATTGTCCGGGTCCATGTCCCTTTCTCTCTCTCTCCGACCTATCTCAAACTGAGAAAAGATTAGGCTCTTTCACCTCCAACCCAGTTACTTACATAAGAGAGTTCCAGTACCTAACTCAGTCATATGATCTTACCTTCCATGATATTCACGTGATCCTATCCAACACAAACACACTTTTGCCCAAGGAGTGTAGGTGAGTCTGGGAACTCATGCAGATGAGGTTCACCAAACTACTCCAGCTCATCCAATTGGTGCTGAGGCGGTTCCTGATCGAGACCCTAATTGGGACTATAATACGAGAGGGGGAGTCACCAGTCGAGATCAGTTCATCACCTGCCCCATGGTGGGTCTCAGGAAGTCAGCCAATAAAGCCATTAACTATGAAAAGCTTATTCAGGATAAAAATGAGAATCCCTCTGTGTTCCTAGACCATTTCACCAAAGCTCTTTCACAATATACAAACCTAGACCCTGACACCCCAGATGGGATACAATTATTAATGACCTACTTTTTCACCCAGAGTTTCCCTGACATTTAAGGCTAAACTTAGACATCTGGAGAAGGGACCCTTAACTCCTCAGGCAGAATTCCTGGCAGTGGCCCTCAAAGTATATAATGGAAGAGATGAAAAGGCCCGTAAACAAAAATATCAAATGCTGGCTAAGGCCTTTCAACCTACCCCAACCACTCATGCTCAGGTATCCTCACCTCCTAATAGGCAGCCAGGAGGACCTCCTGGTCCATGCTTCAAATGTGGTCAAATGGGTCATTGGCCCAGAACCTGCCCAAATCCCTGGAAGCCCCCCGGTCCATGCCCTAAGTGCCATCAGGAGGGACACTGGGCTGTTGACTGTCCTCGCACACCGAGAGGTGCCAGGCCATCCAGCTCTAACACTCCACACATAGACCTTCTGGGTCTGGCAGCTGATGATTGAGGGGGCCTGGGACTCCTCCACCCGACCACTACCATCACTGTACAGGAGCCCAAGGTAACCACTGTGGTAGCGGGTAGGCCCATCTCTTTCCTTTTGGACATGGGGGCCACCTACTCAGTCCTGAAGGAGTTTTGGGGACCTACCTCCCTCTCACAGTCCTCTATAGTCGGAGTAGAGGGCACACCTCATCAACCTTTACAAACCCCCATGCTTCACTGCATCTTTAGAGGCATTGCCCTCTCTCACTCCTTTTTGGTGATTTCCCCAGTGTCCCGTCCCCCTTATGGGAAAAGACCTAGTACACAAGGTTGGAGCTTCCATTACTTTTGCTCCCGGACCACACCTCAACCTCGACTCACGTTCAGTCCCACTTTTACTCACCCTCCAACCTGCTGCAAACCCACCTCCCTCTCCTTTTCCTCTGCCACCCCTTCTGGTCAATCCTGTAGTCTGGGATATCCTCACCCCCTCTATCACCACCTGCCCCCCAGTAATTATCAGACTTGAAGACCCCCCTCTTTTCCTTCTCAACCTCAGTACCCGCTGCCCCTCAAGAGTTTACAGAGCCTGCAGCCAATTATCCAAGAACTTTTATACAAACGGCTACTACGACCAGCCAGTTCCCCTTACAACACCCTGATACTGGCTATCAAAAAACCTAATGGCTCTTATAGGCTAGTTCAAGATTTAAGAATTATCAGTGCAGCTGTTATTCCAATCCATCCAGTAATCCCTAACCCCTACACTTTATTATCCACTATCCCCGCCTCTTCTACTTACTTCTCTGCCTTGACCTCAAAAATGCATTCTTCACAATTCTCCTCCATCCCAATGGGACGACTTACACCTTCAACTCCACAGACTATAAATCCTCCAGTAAACTACTCTACAACCCAAATAGGACCTCCTTACAGCTGCATAAGGCAGCATATGTGCCCCACTCCAAGCACAATGCTGCTTCTACACCAACAAATCCGGCCTTGTCCGGGATGGTCCAAAACACCTCCATGAACAAGCCTCCAAACTCCTAGAAACTCCCCTAACAATCCGTTCCCTTATCCCTTCCATTGGCTCCTACCCCTCCTAGCCCCTACTACCTTTATTATTATTATTCTCCTTTTCCTTCCCTGCTTCATTAACCTATTCCAAAAATTCATTCAAAATCAAATTTTGAAAATTTCTAACCGTACTGTCAACCAGTTACTCCTCCAGGGCTATCAAGGCCTTCACACGAAAAATAACGAAACCAGCTGGATGACCTTACGAATCATCTCAAGATGCCCGCCCTTCCCCAACTCTACTGCAATGGCCTCACTAATCCCAGGATCTGCACCCCCTTCTGGCAGGAAGTAGCTAAAGAATGAGATTCTACACCCAGTTCCCCAGAGGCCCAATTAAGAAAAGAAAAAGATGGAAATGAAGGCAAATTCTGGTATGCTAAGACCCCCACCCCTTAAGATCCAATCACCAATGCAGAACACACCCCACCCCTACTCCTTAAAAATGCACTTCCTCACCCACGAGCTGCTGCTCCCTCTCTCTGGGGGCAGCCACCTTCTCTTTCAGATAATAAAATCTCTTGCATGGGCCCATGTCTCCCGAGTCATTCTGGGGTAAGGAGGGTCTCAGCGAGATACCCTTTCAGTCTCTGCTTGCTTTTGAACTCTGTAAAGGTATACTTTTCAGCCAGTCCTTTAAGTCTTACTTCTTCTGCCAGATACGGTTGCTGATTCACACATACTGTTGCCTACAGCTGAGCTGGGCATGTTTCTATTTCAGCACTGCCCAGTAGAAACATAAGGCAAAGAATTTAAATTTTATGAGAGCCCATATAATCATTAATTACATTAATAAGTAAAAATCAAGTAAAATTGATTTTAATAATATAGTGTGTTTAACCCAACAAATCCAAAATGTTATGATTTCTCTGCATAATATAATCATTGAAATGTTTTACATTATTTTTGCCCCGTACTTTAGGCTTTGTTTTGGCACACCTAATCTTACTTAAGTAAAAGACTTCAATGTACTTCCTTATCAGCTCTTTCCTTTCTTCCAGCCATTATTTGTTGGAGTTACTATTCTATTCTAGTTTATTTTCTTTGCTTAGTATGATTCCTTAGCATTTGTTATTCCTTGTTTGGGAAAAGCTTAAAACTTTTCTGCACCTGAAAGGTTCTGAATATGCAGTGTGCTTACCAAGCGCCCTGTGGGTGATTGGACTCCAGGACCTTCTTGGCACTCTCAGCCTGTACCTTCCTCACTGCAATTGCTTCTCTAGCCCAAAGAGCCAGACACTAACCTGACTTTCTGTGGTAATGTTTTCTTTCTCCCCTCCGTCTTCCTTTCTTCCTCAGAGATCTTAACAGGAGGGCCACTGTATTAGTCAGGGAGGCCAGGAAAAGCCAGGGGTATAGCTCCAGTCTAAACCCAAAGGACTAAGAACCAGGAGTGCCAAAGTCCAAGGACAGAAGCTGAGTGTCGCAGGCTCAAGCAGAGACAGTAATTTTGCCCTTCCTCTGCCTTTTTGTTCTATTTGGGTCATCCTTGAATTGGATGATGCCCACACACTGGAGATAGTGACCTTTAATCCCTCTGATTCAAATGCTAATATTTCCCAGA